GATGGTATGTTACACTTATAATATTATCAGTAATTTATCAACAATACTAAGTATATGTGACATTCCAGTTAAAATCTATGCAATAATTTTGATAAACTGTTTGTATTTGGTGGTAAAAAGACTGCTGCTGAAATTTTCCAACGATCAATATGACTAAAAATTAGATGATGGTAAGGTGCAAATTTGACACATTTAATAACTAACTCAGGTGAAACTGTTTCAGACAATTAAAAATAAGAAAAAATTCTAGTAGCCTACTTTTTGGTGATCACGAAAGAAAATAAAGAGATGGTCTAACAAGAACACATAAAAGATAAACTGATACACACAGTGGAGTGTGAACTATGATAAGAATATAAGAATGATAAGGAGCTTCAGTGATGAATAAATAAAGAAATTATACAACATGGTCATTATTATCTGAAGACAGAAAGCGAAAAAGAGAAGAGTCGAAATGGTAGAATAAACGAATTACAAGTATCCTTCTTAAAATCTTGATCGGTAGTGCTTGCTTCTACAGTTACATCATTATCATCCCATTCACAAATTAGAAAAAATCGTCATCACTGATTAATATGCTCTGTTGAGCTAGTTGAGATCAGAGATGATCTTGCGTTGAGATAGAGTCTGTGCGGATTTTTGACGACCAATATTGGTACCGAACTGAGTAGGTCAGATCGGCTAACCTACCAGTGATCGTCCAGTCTATCAGTATCCGATCAATCTAATAATATCGTTCGATCTGAAACGCATGCCAATATCTGGACCAATGGATTGTCGTACTATGTCATTTGTGAATGGCGACATTTGATATAGTCAACTTTCGACATACATTCTCCAAGATATTATAAAAGCAAAAAATAAAGCAGACACATCGAGCACTCTGAGAGCTCTACTGATATCAGTTTCATCTCTGGTGTTGCGTTCTCTTTATTTTTTTTCTCATATAACCATGAATATCTTTCCTATCTGTTCTATACAATATAAAAGATGAAAGGATCTTAAAAAATCATGCCAATTTATATCTAATCTGAATATTAATGTCTAGCTATATAAATGGTGAGGGAAATATGAAAAGTGTAACTTTCGAATCGTCGGCACCACAGCACTCTCTCTCAACAGATTATAGCTTATTTAGTACTCAGAACCAATGTGCTTATTCGATTTTTAACAATTCATGCTAAAAATGTCAGCTTATCCACCTAAAAGACGGCTTTAACAGTTCTTTAGTAGAAACCAATCTGATGAGCAAGTCCGGATTAGAAATCTGTTCAATCATTCCATTATTATAACTTTCTGCGAACACTAGTCTACAGGAAGCATTGCATTGCCAACGTCAATTATACCTTGGCTTTCAAACAGCATGCCAGCAAATAAATGATCCCAATCTTTTGCGTTTGAAAGTATCGGTGTCATATACAGGATGGTCCAAAAGTTACCAGACACCCCTTGAATTGATAATGAATCTTCGCCTCTGTAATCTGTTCATTTAAGATTCAGCATTGTTGTCCAATAAATATTTATCAACAAGGATCGCTGATCTGCACTGACTAAGTCTTTGTTTGTTATAAATACTGGACTTTAAATGAACAGACTACAGAGACCAAGACTTATTATTAATTCAAGGGGAGCTCGGTAACTTTTAGAGCACCCTATATATTACATATACACGCATATGAATATATTAGCAACTCACAAATAGTAGAAGTTCAAATTTCATCAGGGTGGAATGAGTATGGATGCGAATGAGAGTGTAGGCATCCTTTCAATGCACAAGCAAGCTATCCACATACCTACAGCCGCACTCGACCCACACCCACCCAAAAAGGAAAAAATCTGCATTAGCTCAATTAACTAAAACAAAAGAGCAGAGAAATTCTTTGAATGAACATAGGATTGCTACACAAAGATATATAATCATATTGTTATTAAACTATCTACACAAAATACTTTATTACAAGAAATATTAAGCGCCGAACGAATGAATTCAGAAAGTATTCAATATTGCCCTAGATGTCATGTACCAATCGACAAGAACGGTGGTTGTTCACATGTGCATTGTGCACGGTGTAATTTCAATTTTACATGGCAAACAGAACAAGAACCAACGATATCAGTTCTTACTCCATATTTGGAAAGTGATGATTCTACAGAAATCGAATCGGTACAAGAATAATTCAACAAAGTAACATATTTAGGTTAGTATCAATTGAATAATTGTCGAATAAAAATTTTTGCATTATAATGAAATGTCAAACATAATAATTTCTTTTTCGTAATTTTCAGATAGAAAAAATATTTAAATAGTAACTGATCACAAAATCTAGAAAAACGTTTGGCTACAAAAAGCAGAGTAACAAATAAAATTCTGTTGCATATCTAAGATACTACGAATTTAAGTATTCGTAACAATCGAGAGAAGAATTTATATAATATACAACTTGGTGGTTTTGTAATAGTTTTAAAAAAAAGTCTTATTCATTCTTTTCTCTTGTTTAATTTTGTCTGATGATCATTATTTATATATTTTTTCTTTCTTTCAGTTCAAACTCCTGTACAAGAAAAATCAGAACAAAGTGAAAAGATACCGTCTGATCAAGCTCATGAATAGAAACAACAGGAAAATGACGACAATCTGAAAATTTCAATTGATGATAGATCGGCTATCGGATCAGCTATACTCAGTCGAGTGGTAATATGTCCCAATGAAGCACGTAGAAAAATTAATGTAAAGGTTACTCAAGATAATTGGATAATATGCAGTGCATGTATGAAACAATTTTGTTTTTTATGTGGGTCTGGTATAAATGGAAAACAACATTTTGAGAAAAAATATGTACGAACCACTCCCGTTTCAATAAAACTTACATATCTAACCTAACATTAAAAAGGAATGACATCTTACTCGTCGGATTCACATTGAATAACTACAAGATATCTTCATATTTCTATAGAATACATCAACTATTTTATGAAATATTCAATTCAAGTTTCTTTTTTATAACTTATTTTCTACACTAACAGTTCGTCTACTTTGCATGTCTTACATAGAATATTGAAAAACATTCTCCCGAAATCGACAAGCAGCGAATAAAAGAATATGCTTATTTTAAGTGATAATTCATTGTTCGTCTTAGATCAATACATGTTTCTTTCAATTACGTGAGTATTGATAAGCGCTAATCATTACTTTTTTTAATAGTGGTTTACATTTACCGCATATATTAACTTTTGAGGTCGTTGATACTTTAGTATTATATGATGAGTTGTGCAATTATGAAGATTCGTTCGCTAAAGCATAAAGTTCGGCGTAACATCCGATTTAAAATATCGCACCTCTCTCAAACGTACATAAATAAACATTACAATCAGTACACATAAAAAAATCTGTGTTTTTTTTCATTACATTACTCGAAGAAAAAATGAACTTCAGGAAATTCGATAGGTTTTGGTTATTGTAGATGTGGAGACTTGTGAATGTAATACGACACTTAGGTTATCACCCACACCCATACCCATTAATCTTTGACTACATGAACTAGCGTCTTCGAGTTTTCCTCTCTCGATATATCTTGCGGAAAAACGATTCGATTCCTGCTACTCTTTTGTTGACTCTTAATTTTTATCATTTCTATTCCTTTCTAATTCGAAATATCATTTGAACAAGTGACAAAAAGCGGTCTAATCTGATCTATCTATTTTCAAAGTAATTTAAGACTACATGTTCTTGTATCTGTTTTGGTTATTAGTTTTATATTTGTAATCCAGCTAAAACTCTAATAAATTCATCATTATCATCCATGTAATGTTATAGAATTATTTGACGTAATGATTCATAGAAATTTTTATAACACATACAGGGATGACAGTGAAATATGTCTAACAATGGTCGATAGTCGTATGAAATGGCTGCTATAGAAGTGCTTGCTACAATCGCTAAAGATAAAATAAAATGATTGAATCTTGAACTGATTATAAGCAATAAGAAGATTTTTGAAATAAATAAAATTTGAACGTCTTATGTCATCATGGCATACATGTAATCCTATATAGAAAAATATCAAGACTAAGTCAGGGTTTCCAGCCAAACACAGGAAAATTAGGGCATCATAAAATAACAGGGTAGTATTATCGCTGCGAGGTCTACACATTTTTTTAACCTAATGATGGTTTCCTTACAAGTTACGCGTCATCAAGCAACTGTTTGATAATGATAACTTACTACCATACAAATTGTTCAGACTATATTTTTAATACCGTCGCGGTGACAGCAGGTTCTCAGCCGCGATGGACATTTCTAGTACACATAGAGAAATGAACATTTCAAATAACTTGACTGATAACTTTCACTGTTTTTTAATTAAATGATCACATTATCCTCAGTATTTATGCTTGACTATTTACAAACGTTTTTAAGAATCCTTTTTGAAAAATTTAAAAATGCAATTTTCTGCTTTTATACATTTTCTACAACATTAGTGCACACTTTCTTGAGAAGAGCATTCTGAAATTATACTGTAGGAAACGAAAGAAGTAGTAGAGGTTGCACCAGTTTAGGTGATGTAGTTCAACTCAAGTACTCATAAATGAATAACTGAAATTTTTGGCATTAGTGGCAGCTATCACAGTGCAGTGCTAAACCAATATTTACTAATTTGAGAACAAATGCAGAACAACTTTGATGTTCAAGACAATATATTTGAGGAAAGACATTTATTGTTCTAAATCAAGTGGAAAAACGAATATTACTTTAGTATAGTCATTCTGACCAACTCAGTTGTGAATCATTTAAATAAATATAAAATTTGCTTCTATACGATAAGATAAGCTGTTACAAAACATGTGGAGACAACAACAAGATAGAAAGATTGTGAATACACCGCGCTACCTGAAAGAATGCTTACCCTAGAGAAAAAAGATACGTTGATAATTATCAAACATTGTTATTTCAGTTCGTGTTTGCCCAACTCTACTCTTCATTTCTTGTCAATTTTTTGTTTATGATTTGGCAGACAGTCTCTCTACTCTTCTTCTTCATCATTGTTGCTCATACGACAATCGATGCTAGAGCAATTCAAGAGGATACTGTTGATCAACTAGTGAACGGCCCAGCAAATGAGAATGAAGAATTGTTTGCTACTCTCGCCAACTATCGATATCGTTTCGAACATTCCAACAATATCAAGGCACTTAGATGGATGTTTCAGCAACATAATAATGAAGAAGACCTATATTGTAAAATATGTCACATTCTTCTACCTGTTGTGAGTGAAATTTCTTCTTTCTCACATTTTCGTATTTGATTGTGTGTGTACTAGATTCGAATACTCATCGATGTCAATCAAACGGAGCGTCTTGAAAATGTGACTCTTGAAATTTGTAATGAATTCGGCTTGGTTCTCGATGTTTGTAGCGGAGCTGTGTACGAATACAAAGTGAACGATTCATTATTATTACCCATCTATATATCGTCTCTTTTCTTGAAAATAGGATGCCGTTATTCAAGTCATTGCTCTGACGCATTTCAGTAATAAAGCACTATGTTCACTAGCTCTAAACTGCGATAGACAAACTGATTATCCTGTATTGAATTGGAGTGTTGCGATTCCTGACCGAAAACCATCTCCGCAACCACCAAAACCGCCTTCAGTAAGTGTGTGCATTCAAAAGAATGCGTTGAAGAGTATAGCATTAACACCAAAGCACGGATTCAAACTCAGAATGGTTCATAGAAGATCTTGAGTTCTTTATTGTTCTACTGAGCATTTTGTTCTACATAGAACACATATTTTCTCACGTTTTAGCCTGACTCACCAAAACTGAAAGTGCTTCAACTAGCCGATATTCACGTGGATTTTGAGTACAAGCCAGGATCTGAAGCAGACTGCCTTGAACCATTGTGCTGTCGAAAAGGCCCACCTCGTGAGTATTTTGTATACACATATATCAATATTTAAAAGATCACATTTCTAAATACAGTTCCTGGACATCCCAGTGCTGGCTTCTGGTATGTCTTTTCAATCATTTGAAAATATGCGGTATGAAATATCTGTCTTTTTAGGGGAACCAGTCTTCACTGTGACATACCATATTGGACGGCTCAAGCCATACTTGAATATGCCGCAACAACAGAAGAGGTCATTGACAAAATTCGATTTATTATCCTTATTCTTTTTTCTATTCCATCAGATTGATTTCATCTACTATACTGGCGATACGCCACCTCACAATGTTTGGAATCAATCTCGTGCTGACCAACTCTATTCAATAAATACAATCAATAATTTGTTGGCTACGACATTTTCAAATAAAATGTTGTATTCGGCCGTCGGCAACCATGAAGCAGGTACAAGCTTTGTCTCTTTCTGTCCTTCATTCTACTCTATGTGTTCTGCATAGCTCCGTGCAATCTCTTTCCGACACCGAACATTCGATCGGACAATATTTCATGGCTATATCAAGCACTAGCCAATAGTTGGATAAATACATTCGGTCTACCTAATGATACACGTGAAAGTATTCTTCGTGGCGGATTCTATACAACACTTGTACGTCCTGGTCTACGATTGATTTCGCTCAATACGAATTATTACGCATCGGACAACTATTGGTTATTCATCAATTCAACCGATCCCCTCAATCAACTTGAGTGGGTGAGTTATCAGATGAGGAAAAAACGAAGTAGTAACATTTGTTGATACTTTCTAGTTGATACAATGGTTACAATATGCTGAAGACCATGAAGAAAAGGTTCACATTATCGCCCATCATCCACCGCGGACATGTTTCGCAGCATTCGGTTGGAATTTTAATAGGATCGTCAATCGGTAAGACGTGCGAGAACATGCGTTATTATAGTCGTTTATACGTTGAATAGATTTGAAAATACGATCTCCGGTCAATTTTATGGTCACACACATCGAGATGAATTCAACATGTTCTATGATGAGAATGATCACCAACGACCGGTTTCGATGGTAAGTGAATTGCCATCGCGAGCAGAACTTGTGTATCTAGATTTTTTGTTTAAATCTTGGAAATTGTAGGCTTACATAGCACCATCGCTGACAACCGAATCATTCTTGAATCCGGGCTATCGTGTCTATACAATGGATGGTGAGTATCCGTCGAGTTCCTATTGGGTGCTCGATCATCGTACAGTCATTATGAATTTAACTGCAACGAACCTCTACAACCGAACAATTATGCAAAATGAGTATAATGCTCGGGACGCCTATCAAATGGAGAACTTGTTTCCTACTGATTGGGACAATTTCATTGAAAGACTCCAGAATGATATTGACGGACCACTGATGAGTACCGTATACAAACACTATACAAAATCGTGCGCAGATGGATCCCAATGTAATCATGCATGTCGACGAGGACTGATTTGTGATTTCAAGACGGCTCGTGATGATGATCCAGATGCATGTGATTCAATTCCTCCGTTTGCGTAATCGATACTCTTTCATGAACTGATGCTTTCTAAATATTGTCGGCATGCCACAATAAAATAAGTTCAATAAAGTACTTTTGACTTAGATCACTTTAAAAAAAAAACACGTATCAGAAGTCAAATTTTTTAGAATAATTTGTGTATAAACTATTTGATAAATACTGATGTTCTGATACTTAATTGCAATGAACACAGAAGAATTTTCAGGTTACACTAAGGACTGATTTTTTTAGGTATCTAAATATTGTTAGCAGGAAAGATTGCATAAGAATGTATCAATGGAATCTTGCCAGATCGATCTGATGACCCTATTCAGCTTCATGGAAAATTTTGGTATTAAATTATGCAATATTCGACTTTATTTTCACGAACATATAGATGGAGTAATATAGGAGCCATCGCACCTAAGTCACGACTATTTTCTGCTCAGCTTTGCTCAAGTGATACCACCAATCTTTTTAACAGTAAATAAATCTGATAACGTTAGAAGGAAACTGAAAATTTTAACTCAAATGGATGAATTGTTCTCCAAATATAGGGTGAGCGTGAGTTGTTGAGTTTTCAAGACCCACACCCACAGCCTATTTTTGTAAAATATTGTGAATGAATAGATTGTTCGATTTTGTAAAAGACTTATTTATTTTAGATCTATTTTTATGAAGACTTACATTTGTTGTTTAAAGATGCATGAGACTCGTGAGTAGCCCGTTTCATATAAGAAAAAATTGTTTTAATTGATGCAGTCGGAAAATGACTTGTGGCTTGTTGGCCATTATCAGTTATTGACATTCACTAGCAAACAGCCTATAAGTGAGTCTACAATTTTTAAGGGCAAAATGTCAAGTTTAGATTCTAAATCAATCGGTAACTTTTTTGATTATCATCAATGCATTTAGTATATTTCGAAAACATTTATTCTTAAGTGACAAACATGAGATTAAAATTTAGTAGTATGGATGTGAGGCGAGTTTTTTAATTACTCACACCTACACCCACTCGTGGTCAAAAACAGAATGAGATAAAGACGAATTAGATTTTCATGAGAAAATGTTCGATTCATTTTCCGTGAGAATATGATACAAGTAACGCTCATCGAACGATTCGCTCACCCTTTTCTGAAAGAAACTCTTTCCATCAAAAGCTGAAATTTCAGTCGTTGATCGATTATATCAATAATCTACCCATGTGAAAATTTTTGCCTTTGCAAGCTATTTCTCAGCAGCTTAAAAACCTAACCCTGCATTAAGCTACTGTAAAGCACCGAAGTGCATCCATTTCAAACTTCTGAAAATTACTTCGCTAAGAAAAGTCGCTTAAAGCAGCTTAGAAAACGATTTTTCAAGCATTCTAAGTTCTTATCATGAAAATCACTGATAAGTACTGTGACCTTTGTTACTTGTAAGAACTTTACACCACTTTACATGAAATTGCTGAAAGTGCTTCATTTTTTCTTATATTTAGGTGCTTGACATAACTTCCATTAAAAAGTACTAAGAAAGGTCAGTGACTTCTTCAGAAGATCAGTTAGAGCAAGTATTGATTGCCAATTTATCTTACTTTCCGAAATATTTTTTTTTTGTTTTTTCTGATTAGAAAATGTTCACAAAATGACTTGGTATCACTGTTAGTGAATTTCGAAACACTTGTTCTTGATCACAATCAGCCTTTTCTCATCGTCCTACGTATACCACTGCGATCTTGTAGTTTTCTCAAATTTGAGCCCTACAAGTCGGTATAATATTTGATTGTGCGTGCTGTAGTCAAGAACATTTATCATCACGGTAAAGTCTGGAGTAACATCTGCTTCAGATTTCACAGGATGCTTGCAGATCGACACTCTAACATGGAGCATTCACTTGTTCTAACTTAACTTAGCCATAATGTTTACCAGTGGCGAAGAATTCGTTACATTATCCACTATCAAAGCGATTAGAAGATGCGTGGTGTTCCAATATGCGAGCAAAAATTCAGAATTTTTAGTTTTTTATGAATATTTTTCTATTTTCTCATATTTTTTACTTTTGAGACTTTTTCCAATTTCAAGCCTTTTTCAGTCTGAATGAAATTCAAATATAACTATTTATTACATGCACACTCGGCGGTGTCGCCAAATTTTTCGACTTTTCCAATGAAATAGGAGCAGATTTAAGAAGTATTGTGGACGATTGTCTTCCTTGTAAAAGATTGTTCTCAGTTTCTTCTAGTAGAAGAAGCTTAAAAATGAGCTTTTAGTACCTCTTATGAGCTTCAAAACACGTTCCATGACCATGATCATCCCTAATCTCCATTGAATTGCCGCACAAGTTAAAAATCCTAGATCAACCATTGGGAAAAATTTCAATTTGTTAACTTGTTTCTGATCCCTTATTTTTCAACTTTTAAATTCTTTTTCAGTTTGTTGCAATTTTTTTTATATAAGCTTTTTAAAGCCTACGAATGTATGTTTTTTTTTACTTCTTTTTCTGTGAAGCTTGCGAGGGATTTTTCTGGCAAAGAATAATTTTGAACTAAATAATTTTCTTGGGTTCTTCCTACGATCAAACTGTACACTTATCTACACTATTTTTGTCAATTACTTGTATCTTAAAGTACATTTTAAGACAGTGTGTATCAATCAATAGAAACAGTAAAAGAAGTTATTAGAAGAAAAAAATAACATCGATTTGTTCATAAAAAATAGAATCCAGTTTTTTTTTCCGATTTTCAAAAAAATGTCTCTGGTTTTTTATTTTGAAAATAAAAATTCCGATTTTAACTTTTCCATTTGGAATCTCTGCCGCTATTGCATATTAAATCAGTGAATACAGCGTTGCTATTGATTCATATTTGTGTCATTATTCGGTGCGATATTTTACGAACACACGACGATAGAACAGAACAAAACAGAACGAAAGAACAATTCAACGGTCGTTTAATATAATGATAATGTAGTGATCATTTGAAAAAGAAATTTAAGGAACTGGTCATATGCTAAATAGTAATTTTATTATTAATCCCTCACACGTATGGACAGAAGGTAAGTCTCGTTTACTTATTTTTTTTTGTTAAGTGATTTATAAAACCGGCATTATCCATTGGACTTCTGATCTACGTCTTGGCAAATGGTGAAGAGTAATAGATATCTTTTGTTACATGCAAGTATTTGTGAATCGTATTTTCAAGAATTTTTCTGAGGACTCAATTTCTTGTTATATAAATTTGAGACATTATGTTTCTTTCATTAATTCGCTTACATTATTTTACATAGTTTTTCTGAATTTAGTTCTTCATACTTTTTTTATTGATATGGTGAAAATTTTTAATTAAAAAGAGTGATTGACACGATTTTTATCACTTGGTTTTACAATATTTCGCTGGTATCTAACAGTGTAATCAGTCATAAAAGGAAGAAATAGATAGCAACCAAAAGAAAGTAAAAAGTGAATATTACAAGACAACAAGATTAAAATAGAAATTATATTCATATAATGCTTCCTTGTAACTTTTCATTTGTTTGTTTATTTATTTCTTCCTTTTATGACTGATGATGTTGTGAGTTAATAATGAAGCATCTTAATAAAACTGATTGCAGCAGTGTCAACTACTCTCTTCTTTTTATTAGTCTTCCTTTTTTTATTTTTATTTTTGTGGAGAAATTCTTTCGTTTACTTTTTTTTTAAACTAAACATTTATTCTTTTTTTTCTAAATAGTGAAATTGAATGTTGAAGTATACGGCGATATAAAATAGTCTTCATAAGAGGTTTGTTCACAATAAGCTAAAGCTTTTTTATATTAAACAGTGACTGTGAATACCTTGCATTTTATTCTACATTCTAGTATAGCGTCAGCTTAGATTAATTCCTCCAAAACTGGTAGTAAATTTCTGTTCTATACTCTTAAACTTTTAAAATCCTTGAAATGTACCTCATATTTTGTAACCGATAAGAGAACTGAAATACACTTGAAAGAATTTTTTTCATCAATACTTTCAATTCTATAGTATAATTATTATGAGCTTTTTATTTATCTAATATGCATCATAATTATTATCATGTCAATATAAACTTTCAAAGTTGGATTTATTATTGAGTATGTCTTTTATTACAAGAAATAGTAATTTACAATTAAACAACATTAAAACGATTTTATGAGCATTAGCTGAGAAGAACCGTATACAAAAGAAAAAAAAGATAAAATGAATAAAAAGTGCTGTTTTTTAGTGCAATAACATAAAACTAGTTATTCTTTTTTTTGATTTCCAGACTATTTATACAGTTTATAGTTCTCAGTTGCAAATGCCATAAATGAAGAGAAGATTGAATAATATAAGGAGATTGTTTGATTTATGCACCACTCATATGACATTTACAGAGAAGAGTTTCTAAAAATACAGAAGATACATGTTATTCAATATTGAGAAAGCAGAAAAAAAAAATGCTTTCTCGACAGCTGGTTAATCACAGTTAGTTTTAAATGTGTAATGTGTAAGATCAATAGAAGTAGCGAGCATATTTTTCTTTTGTTTGTTTAAAAAGATCATGTAATCTTGAGATTTCATCTATTTGTGCCTTAGAAGGCTTCACTTGCAGGGCATTAATATGGAAGTCTTGTAAAATGACGAGATCGTCGAGACGTTGTACACGTGAAAGTGGTACATAAGCAGAAGCTACTTCTACTATACCCGGTGGCATGTTCAGATCGATGGCGATTTTGGACAACGTCTGACCTTGACTTTTGTGAGTTGTGATGGCATAGGCAGGGATAAGAGGCAAGCCTCTTCTCTTGACATTGATGGTTGCCTTTATTTTTTGATCATTCAATGATTTTAATATTGATGATTGGTTTGCATAGAGCTTCTTTAGATCAACATCAAATGTCTTTTCGATGACTGGAATAGGAATGATTGAGGATTCAAGTGATTCAAGTTGATCTATTCTAGAGTTTCGTGTTTCGATTAAAGCATATTGTGCATTACGTACAAACAATGTGTCTGGAGTAAATAATGATTCTTCCAAGCCTGTAGTATGTCCTGACGTTTCATCATAAATCAATTTACGAAAAATGCCTGGTGTTCCATTTGACAAACCAAGTTCACATGCTATATTTTCTTGTAGCAAAACCGGCATGCCAGGCACCAGTGGTAAATAGCCAGGCAAATGTTCGGTTTTATTGTCTGGTAATGTAAGAAGTTGTTTGGTAAGGTGAGGTAGATCAATGTTTTTCTTTGTTTTGATTGTGTCTTGAGCTACTACAACAGTTGGAGATTGTCCCACTTCGTAAGCTTTGTTAATCACTGCTCTGTTGTTTAGCTCCGTCCGCACTTCATTGCGGTACACGAGGATTGGTGCCTTAAATATAACATAAACCTTGTCAATTCTAATTATTATTACAATAACATGCATTATCTATAACGAACCTCGTTCCACGGTGGGTCATTGAGGGAAACCTGTAAACCAATACCAATCACACGCGTTCGAAGCAATAACCAGTCTTCATATGTTCCTTCTCCTTGGCGAACTCGGTTTAATAAATCTCGATAAACTGGATCCTTGGTTCTTATTTGTTCTTCGAGTACCACGACACAATTGATTTGCAGAATAATTGCTCGTGCACTTTTCTGTTGTATGTCAGTTTCAGTTGGTAGTTTATTACCGGCACCAGCTTTGTTGATTTTCACCGGCAAACATTCATGATAGAGAGGTTTATCGAATACGGGTGAATATTGCATATAATCTCCAAAGAAGATGATGTTTATACCTCCCATAGGTAGAGTGGGATCCGAATGTTTGGCAGTGGCAATAACTCTGCTCAAACGAGCCAGCAAACTGAGCACAACCATAGACATTTCATCGATAATAAGATACTCTACAAAACGCCATTTGTTTTCCAATATTGTTTGACCAGGACGTGTTCGAAGTTTTAGCCTAGCCTTCGGATTTCGACTTTCGCCCAGAAAAGAATGAATTGTCATTCCATCAATTTCTGCTGCTGCAACTGATGTTGGAGCTAGCTTTCGCAACTTACGTGCACGCTTGGTCTGGTCAAAATAAGCGGTTATAGCCCGAATCAACTGGGATTTTCCAGTACCGCCACAGCCGGGTACACACATGATCAATTGTTCTTGTTTACCATCTAAAACAAACTATTTTTGAAAAGTAATCTTTTTTATCAATTTACTTGAACTTGTTTCGTCATTTGCATTAAGATGACTGGTGATGATCATAAATGCAGCCTTTTGATTCTTATTTAACGTAAATTCTAAAGCGATTTGCTCTTGACTGTAACTATTAATAACAATCATCGTGGAAACCGGTTGAATTGATTCAAGGCTCAACGATGCACTTGCATTATAATGTAACAATGAATCCTCCACAGGTTTTATAAAAAGTTGATCATCTTCCTTGTCAGTCTGTTCTATCTCAACACTATTATCTTCTTCGTTCATGTAAATATTTCGGCGACGCTCCTTTTCGTCATTTATTTTGCGTTGCCATCTGTAACTGAGTTTCATTAATTCATCGGTAAGTGGTATAAGATGTTTTTTGTCTTCAAATATCAGTTTGTCCGATTTTCTTGTGTAAATCAGATTCTTTGTTGGTCCTACACCTGAATTAATAAACAAATATCAATCTATGTGGCTATTACGAAGATTGGAATGTTATTACTTACCTTTAATGTGTATAAATCGATCAATTCGATCAATATTCTGTACGATTTTTCGGAAGTAATTTTCTTCAGCTCCAATTCCAATATTCTTTGGTGAATATAAATCATTTATATATAAATTTTCCAAAACATCGAGGACTGCATCATTATCCTCAACATTATCGTCCTCCATTTCACTGGGATAAAAATGATGATCAATAGTTTCAGTTTGAATAGCTTCAATTACTTGTTTTAGATGTTCATCACGATCTTTTTTACACTCATGAAGCAATTGAATATTTTCGATAATTTTATGCGACTCAGCAGTAATAGTTTTTTCATGAACTTCGAATGCTTGTTCCCAAGTTTGATTGATACTGCATAGATCAGCAACTGATCGCCATGGTACAAATAAAGTCAGAATAGATCGGTAGTAACGTTCTTTTGTATCATCTCGATCTCGTCGCGGTATCGCAGGACCAAGTAGTACTGGAACAACGGGCTTAGTACGCTTTATGTTCAAATGTGATGATACCTGGGGATGTGGGACTTCAAATAACACTCTCTCGCATGGTGGACGACCACGTCGCAAATCTGTAGATTCGATGGTCTCTGCTGTTGTACGAGCCTGTAACTGCTTCTTATCATAGGCATCAATCAACTTTTTTCGATAAAGACGCACGTAATCATACAGACATAAGGCATCAAGTGATTTAGAACGATATTGATAATCAAGTCGACCATTCACATACACATATTCATTTATGGATTCAACCAATTGAAGAGTAAACTGCTCTTCAAATTCAGCATAGTTTTCTTCGTCATTTTCATTATTAATTGTATCTATATTGAATACTTTTGAATAGAAAGTATTAAAACAGATAACAATAAAAATTACCTTCTACTAAACATTGCTGTTTTACCTTTTCCTCTTCCAGAGTCGCTTGCAAATAGTGCTCAATACCAATCAGAAAGATATTGGCGAATTCATGAGTTGTATAATGATCAGGCCAACTCATAAGATACGAAGCAACTTGAACACCGGAGAGTTCTTGTTGTGAAGCAAGCGTATTATAGCAACGAAGGACAAGTTTGCGTGATTTTTCTTCTGCACTTAGAATATTGTTGACTTGAGTTGCCCTTTTTTCCAAATATTGAGTAGCTTTGAGCATAAGGCCAAACGTATCATAAAATGATAAATTTGATTTTGTCACATAATCCGTAATGTAATATACTAATGCTTTCGAATCGCTACCACTAAAGATATATTTAATATCCATATTAGATCGACAGGCAGTAATAATGTATTCATTAAAATTATTTATAGTTTCGTGAAGCCGTTTCAGTTTAACTTCTCCCGACTGTGTATCAATTGTTGATTCTTTTACGATTTTTCGTGGCATATGAACACGACACTCAGGATTATCACGTTTTTTCGAATATTTATAGCACGAACCCGTGTGGTGATGAATATTGCCGCTATTGACTAACTGTACAACATCTCTTTTGAAAACTGACGGAAAATTTGGTAATGCTGGGTTTGGAGTCAACATCATTGCTGGTGGTAAAGATGTGGCTTCGTTGTCAAAACGATCTATGATATAAACAATATCTTTTATATAATTATATAGCATATAATATACTTTTATTGGACATTTGTTCACGACTATCAACATTCACAGAATCTGATTGATAATTATGTCCCAAAGATGCTTGTTGTTGTTCGAGATCTAAAAAACTACTTTGATGAAACTTTTTGAAATACGTACAAAATATGTAACTCTTACCGTTAATGTTAGAGCCATCAGGTATGAACATGCTAAGATCCTCCTTAATGATATCCTCCAAGTAGTTGATAAAGCTTTTTCGAAACTCTTCGTTTTGAATTTTCTCTTTCATTTGTGAAGGTGTTATATCATGATCGAGCCAGAGAAGCATGTGCAAATGTAATGAGCCTCGACCCTGACTTTCGACTGTGCCAAAGTAGGCTTTCATTGGTCCGAGAACTCCCTTCATTATTAGATTATCAAGAATTGATGAGATTAGTACATTAAAGAAATGAGCAGTTGCTACAGGATGAGATGCTATTATCTGAGCACGTTCAAAAGTTGATGGAATAGTTTCGGGTAAAATTTTGTCAAGGTCAAGATCAACACCAGCAAAATAAAGAGCAACCCGACTGTGAATATCAGCTGGATTAATAGTAATGAAAATACTTGGCAAACCCTGACTGTATATAAGCGCATGAATTTGAGTACGTAAATTAGAACGAGAATAGGTTGAACCCATTACATGACCACCAACTGTTCGGATTTGATTCATCAGCATCTTAATGCGAGAATCAGTAACACAAGAGAACTTGTCCTTAGAGATATTATTTAACGCGATCTCAATTTCTTTGCTAGTCAACGTCTCAAGATCAGATGCAATAGATCGAAAGTAAGGTCGTGATGCCATAAGAGATGCATTGTAGCATGCTTGCTGTCGCTGCATCATATTAAAAAGGACAAATATAAATGAATGATGCTTTTCAAAACGATGATCACTGTATCTAAGTAAATACTGAATATGCTGCTTCAAAGAAACCGAGACTGGTCTCGATAAGTCATGTGGTGCTCCATATCCATACGGGAAAAGCGTTGGAAATAGACCAAGTATTAATTCTTGATTTAAAATCTCATTTGCTGGTATAGCTGAGCGAGGAATCAAATAAACTACATCTTCATTTTCATCTTCATCTTCCACAATATTATTTAATACCTCTACTTGTGGTTTTTCTGTATTAGCATTGATTTTGTGCACAAGATGTTCACTAATATCTTTTGTTGTAATAGTAGTTCCATTCACATCGAGCACAGCACTAAAATATTAATATAAACAGTTTGTCTTTTTTTTTTCTAAAGCTCTGTTTGTACCTTGTACTCAAAGTAATAATGCTCGATTCGTTTTGTCCACTTAGTTCGTCAGTATTATCTAAGACTTCATTCGATAAACCACTACGTTCTGTTTCAGCATTGCTAATATCTTCTAATGTATCTATTGTGTTCCATAGACTTTCCGGAACATCATCATCGGGCAGACTATCAATGTTGGCTTCGTTGACTATACATTTAAAAAAGTGAGGTATTAATATTACAATTCAATGTCTTACTAGGAATCTTTTGATAAAGATAATTGTGCTTCTTCAACCATAGCAAAGCGTTACGTACTTTTTGTTTGTTCACACCACAAATCTTTCGCAATTGCTGCCGATCTGGTTTATGGGCACCAATAAATATAATTTTGATTGTATCACACAGATCATCTGCTTTCAACGGAAGACTTGATACGATGTTCGGCACATTTTGCATAAATGTGATGACATTACCTTTCAGGACAGATTGAGCAGTTGAATGATCACCAAATGGCGAATAAAGTTTCATTACACAACTGTTATGTCGATAGAGCGAGATCCTAGAAATAAACTCCATATTTTTCAAACTGATTGGTAGAAAATAACAGTAGATCATACGGAAATATTTTAATATTGAATTCGATATCTATGTTAGAAGAAACATTAGACATTTCCTGAGACAAATTGAAATTTGAATTTTTCGTGCAGTAGCATCTAATTAAAATCTTCTACACAAAAGAAATTAAATTTCAATTTTACTTGGAAAACTCTTAATTTTTCTAAATTCTAATTCCTTTTTCAACATATCTATTCAAATTTGTCATGATAAAAACTTATACATTAGATTCAGATTAACCGAAGTAGGCTTAACAAATGAAACATTTTTTTCTTGATATTTTAATAAATTCCTCGTCACGACACCAATTAACTATCGAAGATATTCATAAATTGGTGAAATTAGATTTCTACTCCATTGAATGTATTACTGTTAAATCTTACAAATAATTACTCACAATTTTTCTTCTACAATCGTTAATTGTTGAAGTACTGATGGTATATCTCCTATCCACATTTTGTTTGCCGGAGAAAACATTGGAATCTTGTCTTTTTTCAAGGTACTATAGCATTGATGACATATATTCCCAGTTTTTGTTGTTTTGTTATATCCTCCTTTGTAGAAGAGGATGTTGGATAAATAAAAATAACTTGACTGATCGTCACCGCCTGTAGATAGACAATTAAATATTGGTTTTTCTAGTAATTAATAATTAAAAACCGGTTGTATGAATATTACCTTGTGCTTTAGGAATAATTCTTTTCAGATCAGAATGGCAAATGAGTCTCTCTCGGTTAGGAATATCTTCAAGTATATGTTGAGTCATTGAATTAGCAGATGCTCGAACGTTACAAATAATGCATGTTGATTATCTTAAAGTATTCATCGACATTTGTTTGATAAAATCTTGGAGACAGCGTTCTTTTAGTTGATTTGGTATTGCTGATGGCCAGTGAAAACGATTAGATTCTGTTTGCTGTTTTTTTGCTATTATTTTTTGACGACGTCGCATACTTATACTTCGGACTCGTCTAAGTTTTTGTTCTTCATCCTTATTTTCTTGGGATTCTTTCCAACGTTCTCTCGTACTGGCTAAACGAATGCTCCTTCGCTGCTCATTCTCATTAAGTCGATTCTGTGCCGATCGATGTCGTTGATCAGCAAGACGTTCATTTCGTTGTTGATCATTTTCTGTCGCTCTCATAATTCTTTTGTGTAATTGATCCCGAGCAAGACGCTCATTTCGTTGCTGTTCATTCTCTTCTATTCTCTCTCGATGCTTTCGTTCTGCATCTAAGCTTTTTGAATTTGTCAATAATTGTTGAAATGAAGATGATAATTCTGTAGAAGAGTTAAAACGTTTTCGAACATCACGAGTTGATGAAAAATCAGGAGTTCGAATTAAAGACGTCTGATTATTTTTTGTCGTTGTTTTCTCTGGAGTCTAGAAATGTCAACACCAAAGCTTGATGCTTACAGCACCTATTTTTTTGAATCTCACTTTTAAAACGAGAGTGACTTGGTTGTCATCTAGTACATTCAAATTTTCATCATACTTGACAAGAGGTACAAAATGGTTAGGACTCCAAATGCCACCACTATTAGTACGTGATCTTGTTGTTACTTCGTCCCTGCTACTAGTCCAGAAAATAATCACATAACCACGAATTGGAGTAGATGACTGTATAGGTTTATAAATAGCATTCATATTTTTCATTTCAGCTCTGTAATCAATATAAGGATAGACACTTCGAATTTCACATTGTATCACATTGGCAAGTGCAGCAAGTTCATATAGCTCTGAGAATTGATTGTTGTTACATGCTCTTCGAATAGCTTCATCAATAGGACCGATAAGATATGCATATTTGTTTATATAGTAAGTCTTGTTCTTAATCAGTTCGACAACAGTTCGTACTACAATTATATAATGAGTTTAATTACGGTCATAGTTCTTCAATAAATACGTAAAATATATCGACAAACCTCTTAATTCAACAGCAGATAAATCCGAATTTGGCATTAAGGATGTGATGCAATTGAACAAACAATTGCCATCATCAAGTGTTTTGATAGCAACAAGATGCTGTACGCTTTTACTAGCTTGTTCAAGATATTTTTGTGCTATAGGATCTATCTTATGAACTGTTGAATCAAATTGTGTTGGCGGAGTAAATGTTAATGGTACCATCAGATTTTCATACTAAAGAAATTTAATACAATTGTTGCTAATACATCGATACATATTCAACATATACAGGCACTGTACATACTATGGTCACAATTGCAGTTATCTGTTCTTCGTAATTCAATGCGTTCGACGCTACTGTTAATTGCTCAAGTATTTGATTGAACTGTTGTTCTCGATGATATTTGCTACTACCAGAAAGTTGGCTGCTGAACATAATAGAGCTATTTGTAGACATATTGCTATTATTAATATTAAAATTATCCATCTGACACAAATCTAAAAATCAATTCATGAAGTGAAATAATTTTAAAGATTTCGTTTCAAAATTAATAGATGCTAATGAGTAATTGATAATCTATTTATCAAATTTAGTCACACGTTAATATGGTATGAAACAAATACCTCGAAACCTGTCGTATTTTACAAACATGAACGCAGTTGTACCTACTTTTCATGAATTTTTCAAACATATAACCCAAATGATAAACAGTTTAAACTTTTGTGGACTACTTTCTAGTTATACAAATAATAAATAAATGAATTATCAAGACCCTAAGGATATATGCACTTAATCACACCACTGAATATATGCAATTTCAGTTTTAATTTTAAGTCACAACTTACGCGTCTTAGGAGTTATTTGTAGCTTCCCGAATCTTTTTTTATGTATCTCAGATTTTATCCATAGACAATAACTCATAGGGGTAGCAGTTTCTCTTTACTTTTCATTGAAAAAGTAAAGTAAAGCAAAGTGAGCATAATTTACTTTACTTAGTAAAGTAAAGTAAGTCAACTTTACCAGAAAACTAAAGTGCAGTGAATTATGATACGTTTGGTTTATTATGTGTTCACTAGTCCAGTATCGTATACTGGTAATGCTGCAACACATCCATATATTTTCATAAACATTTGCTCTATAACAAATGGAAAATAAAGTAAAATATGCATACTTTACTCTCTTGGATAAAATAGAGGTCGTATTTTACTTCGATGGGTAAAGTAAAGAATGCATATTTTACTTTATTTCCCGCTTATTATATGAACATATATTTATGAAAATATATGGATATGCTGCAACATTACTAGTATATGATACTGGACTAGTGAATGCATGATGAACCTAAAGTATTACAATTTACTTTACTGAGTAAAATAAAGATAAAGTGCCATCCCTAACAATATATATGTGAAAAATATATTACAAATACAGGCATTTAATGTTGTAAAGATCTACCATGAAGTGCATGTAATGTATCAGTAAATAACTGGCTTGATATTAATATAGATTTTGCTATATCGTGTTTAATTAAAAGACATAAAATAATCACAATTCGAGTAAATATAAACAAAAAAAACAACAATCTACTGCACGACATTTATATTTAATTGCTGCGCACTTTACACAAATAAAAGAGCTAAATAATTACCAGATTAACATGAAAGAAAGCATAACTAAGCACACATCTATTAGTCTTTTTTGTTTCATGTTACATATGAATCATATAGAGCGATTAGCATCATTTTGAACGAAATCAGTGTTTTCTTGTGGTTTTCCATTAATGATTTCACGTGTTGGAATAGTTGATATTTGATCATTAAGATGCACCATTTCAACACTTTCCAAATGATGAATTATATTTTTATGTTTTTGTTCAGTGTTGTTGACTAATGAATACTGTTTTGGTGAGGTGGTGGTTATCTTATAACACATCAATAAATAATTATAAAATATATATAAATATGACAAATGCTCACAGACGCTTGGGACGATTGATCTGCCACTACTTGCATTTTGTCGACGATCTTCACAGTTTTTTCATTAGTCAAAATTGAACTTAAAAAAAACGATAAAAGTTAAGTGTAAATATATGTATAGATACCGAACTTTTCCAACCGAATTAAACCATTCTTGTTCATTATTGTAGAGTTAGTCACTAACCATTCATCTAGAATAGTCCCAATGAAAAACCGATTGTCTTTAAACTGAACATTATCTTACCATTTGAGTTAACTGGAGTTGTTGAACGAAATGGATAACCCGCTCTAAATTCATCATCCTCCAAACCCATATCTAATGGCCATTTGATAAACTTCGGTAGAAATGATTTGTCTTCAGTAGAACTATTGTTTTCAGATGCCATAAGACGTGTCCCAAAAAAACGTCGAAAATGGAAATTTATCGTTGGGTCTAATCTAAAGAAAAATGCAACAGGAATATGAGAAAGCAAAGGAAACGCTGTTTTTTTGCATTCAAATTAAAATATTTTTTTTCAATTACCAGTATAAATGTATTATTGCAACCTCTAAAAATTGATCTTATAGCATGAATGATATCTATATCTGAAAAACTTCATATTTTCCAATGGATTATGATTGCTACTGTACTCTGATAGCAACTTAATTGGACTATCATTCCTTGCAATAACTCTGCGGAAAACATGTTAGTATAGGACAGTTCTAGAATCTCAAAAGACGAATAAAAAATTGGTTCTTTCTTTATAATCTATTTTATTTTTGCAAGTTATCATATGGCATTTTGACAAGTACTAATTTGATCAGAATTAATATATCTTTTATAAATGTGAATATTTTATACCATACTAAACTATTTGAAAAAAAAACATGCTAAACAACAAGAAGACAAAAAAAATGCTGAATTATAAGAATACATAAAAATGATGAATAATGATAAATCTAACACATGATGAAAAGATAAAAGACAACAATCTAATATTGATATATATTATATTACTAATATTCATGTTCATGAACTACGCAATATTTCTTTTAAAACATTTATTATATTTGTTTTTCCATTTCTGCTTCCAACATCAAAGCCACTGCTAAAAGCTCTTCATCTGTGATTTCAACTTCGATTTTAACTGTTCCTGGAGTACTTTTGATAACTTCAGTTGTTTTAACTATATTATTTTCATCACCCATAACTGTATCAAAAGTTAAATCTGAATTGTTGAATGAACTATCATTGACCTTCTTTTCTTTTTCAACATGTTCGGGTTGACCAGATGCAGATCGTTGCTTTTCATCACCTAATCAAACAGACACATCATATTTATTTTTATCCAAAAAAAGATGTTAAATTATATAATACCGAGGTCTGCCACCTTTTCAGTTGATGCTAATGTTGAGTTAATCTTAACATTATTTTCTTTTGTAGATTCTGGACAAAAAAAAACAAAAGAAAAATATAATAAGTTCTCAACTATATAATTATTTTTCCTTTTTCACTTACTTGATGATTGAGACATATTAATATATATTTATAACAGATATAATATCTGAAAACTTTTATGAATTAGATTAATAAATCCAAAAAAAAATAAATAGCTTAATTCGACCATACCATCTTTTGTTATATACACTCTCGTTTTTGTTCTTGTTAATAATGAATATCCCTTTTTTATTTATAAATTATTCTTTTAGTGGTATAACTTTTGTGTTTTTTAAGGTTACAGATTGCTTATCAAAATGAAATTATCTCTTTTTGATTGCTTTTTTTTCTGAATTTTCAATATTATAGAAAACAAATGGGTTCTTTATCTCTTCTGATTTACAACGAATAAATTATTAGGTTTATAACGACGCTGATACGAAATATAAATAAGAGCAATACATATAAACTTTATGAATAAATTTTTAAAGTTAATAAAACACTATTTTTTTCATCCTCATTCTTACTTATCAAAGTTGAGTATTATTATATGCACGTTTGTTTCAATTTAACAAACTTTTCAGTTGAATAAATAACGAAAATACTTTATATAATAGAAAGCATTCGAAAGTAATCATCTTATACACTCTTCGTTCAAATATTAGCAAAAATTCGTATTATTTTTCCGAACTCGATGAAATGTCAAAAAAATGCTATGGCAAAGAGAAAATTATGAGTAGAAAGTATACATATATGCTAATGTGTCATAATCAAACCCATCTTTGTTGCAAATTCAGCTTATTTTCAAAAACTGTAAGAATAAAAACATAGAAGTATGTTCATTTATTCACGATTTAATACAGTAATAGAAAATATAGTAATAGAAAAAAAATATATTATACGCATAGGAACGATTAGATAGAAATTCTAGTAAGCTGATATAATAATTTTGCTGATAAAGCAATCGATGCTTCTAAATCAATTTTATTTTTAACTTCTGAGCCTAATCCAGTTTTTTCTTTTAGTAATTGTTCATGCGCAATAGATGCTTTTAAAGCATCAATGCTATTGACAATACCCGTCCAAGCTATACTAATATTGGTGTTGGAAGCCATTTTTAATTGCGAACTAATTGCTGATTTTAAATAGTAAGCTGTGGAATGTAACTGGAACAGACGTTGTAATTTAATATCACGATCGTTACCTAGTTCTATTATTGGAAACAGTCATTTACCAATGTTTTATTATAAAGGATTTAGATCAGTCAAAAAGTTCTTCCAATTTCTTCAAATTTAAAAACTTTCTTAAATAAAATATTTACTTTTAATATGTCTTTCTATAATAACTGATTAGAAGACGATATATAAAACGATTCTTTTGAAATTTATCGAATTTGCTCGAAATCCGTAATTATACACGCTGATAGTGCATAACATATTCTAACTGAACGTGAACATGTCATCATCAAAAGAGTCCTTACTCGTCTCTCCCTAAAATTGAAACTAAAATCAATATTGGAATTTAATATAACATCTTAAGAAAGAGTATTCAAAAATAAGTCCAAAAAGCTGATGAACAGAATTCACATTTACTGAATCTGGAAAATCAAAACTTAAGAAAAAGATTAGTTTTAATCCGATGGAAATTGCGTCATTTACTAATATAAGGTTAAATCGAAAAAAGATCAATCTAAATCTGATTATTGGACGATTTTACATGAAGTTTTACAGTGAATTTCTCAAACAGTTCCTATAGAAAGACATATCAGATATTCTGTACGTCATTAGTTTTTAAAAATTTGTTAGCACTTTTTGACTAACCTAAATATGAATAATTCATGCTTACCATTGAAGCGGCAGAAGTCATCTGCTGCTTCTCTTGCACAATCAATAGCATTAAGGCACGATTTAATCTCTTCAATTAATACTCGTTTAAGATTATCAGTTGGATATATATGTCTCTCAATCAGTCGAACGATACTCTTCGAAATATTAGAACTAATCGATGACGATGGTGATATTTCAGAGCATAATCCAAGTAGTCGTTGTCCTCGCTCCAATAAGGTTTCACCAGTACGTTCGTGTTTATTTGGTTGAGAGCAAGAGCGAGCAAGATAGCAGTCTGGAGGTAAATAACTAAGTGTCGAAGGAAGTGATGGAAATTCAGAAGGCGGCAAAAAACGAATAGTTGATTGTTTTGGAGAAGAAACTTTGGTAGTTTTTGGCTGAAATGGTTTCATGGTTAGATTTGGTAGTTTGTTAGCAAGTTTTGTTGCATAATGAGCATCTGATTCTGACGCAAAACCGACGTAATAAACATTACTTTTCAAAGATTTGCGTTTGTCATAACGTATGATACGAAGCTTTTGCTTGAGTTCATCAGTAAACTCTGAGGTATACAACACTCTTTGATACTTTTTCATTGTCCTATAATAAAAAACGGAGATTAGAATGGATAATTTTAAAGAACATATGCTATTCGAAACTCGAAATCAATTATCAGTTAAGAATTTTTTCAAATATTTTAGTTGAATTACTGTTGAAATGTCGAAGGGGAAATTGTCCAAAGCATAAATTTCGAAATACAGAATATAGAAATAAAGTAAACTCGAACCGAAAAATTTCGAAACTAAAGTCCAAAAACTAAGATTTAATTATATTAATATTAACCGCTTTTTAATAGTCAAATTTTAAAAATTAGAAGTAAAAGGTAGCTTTTTTCTCTATTATTAGATTCCCTGAAGTTCAATATTGTTTTACAGCTGCTCACACTATTTGAAAAATCTAAAGTTTCAAAGATATTTCTTTACTTAATGTTAGAATAAGTAAGAAAATAAGATGAGCTCAACATTTCTATTTATGAACATGTCCCTTGTATATTTATATATTTCTTGAAACTATGAAAAGATGAAGAATGAATTGATAAACTAGTGTGTAATATTTATACGAAAGTCTTCAAATTTATTAAGCTTATCTTTGCTTTTTAGATAGCACAACTAATATGTTTACTCAAAAAATTATTCGCGATTATATAATCTCCAAAACTGCAGTATTCTACAAATATACATATAAAAAAATTATGCTATATATTATTTGAAACAGAAGAAAGCTATGAGAGTTATCTTGTCAAAACGGATAATGAAAAAATAAAAATATATGATTGCAATGCAATATTTTACTCCTTTAAATAAATCCTGACTCTTATGTTGGTCTAGATTTTCTAGATACATTTTCTAATCACCTCCAAAAGTTTACATAATTCTTATTGCAAGTATTGTTCTCTGTATTATTTGTCTTACATATATATAAAATCGTGTTGCCCCAATTAGAGACTTATAAATCATTATATTTATAAATCGTGTTGCTACATTTGAGCAAATCATGTTGCTAGTCCGAAGACCAGACTCAGATATACTAACCAAATCGATGAATTGTAATAAATCAAATTAACAATGTAATTGTGTACAGATAATATAGATAATAAATTGAACGAACGTCGAAAATTATTTTACAGATCAATACCTATAAAGAAAAATAAAACTGATTGGCTCAAAACAAAGTATAATTTACCGTTTAGTTTTATAAAATCTAACAAATATATTAAAAAATGACGACTATTCAGACTCTTATGAAATTATTTAAAACAGTGAAATGACGCAAGAAAACATATTCATTTTATTCTTATAGATAAATGCTTCTCTTCTGTTATTTCAGTCTGAAAAAATTTCTCACGTTTACACTTTCATCTCTCTCCCATGCCTATTATTTTTCATTTCACAATGAGCTGTCAAGACGATACAAAGAATACTAATTGTCAGTTCACAACGAAGCACTTCATCATTTCACACAAACACATCTTCAGTCAGTTTCATGTATCATTAATTATAAAACCATTCAGTCTTATCAGAAACTTCGGTCGATTTATCTGTTTATTTTATATTTAGAATCAGAATACGTGTGAATAACTGGAATCATTGAACTATTAATTAAATACATTCAGACATTTTTTTTTATCAGTAAATTGAAAATCATGTTTCCACTAACATATAGACTCTTCAATCACATAGAAACCTTGACTCTGTAGTCTTATGACATATTTCAATTTCGTGTTCGATCACATAACAGTCTATTTTTTTTAATTGAATATATCATATATAATGTTAATATAAAATCACCTGTAAATTTGCTTGAATCACCGAAGATAAAATTAGTCTATCAACTGTAACTACTTAAAATTAGAATAGTTATATATAAATAAATAACCAGTACGAAAAGCATAAACACAATTCAGTAGAAAACCAATAAACTCTTTTTCTAAAACAATAAAAAAAAGACACTAATAGCATTCATTTTCGAAATACTCATAGCTAGTATTTTATTTCTTTTTGCGGAGTCTATCGGTAAATATTCATTCATTCTTCAAGTTTGTTTTGCTACAAAGAGTTAGATGCAATTCGAATATTTAAATATGACTCTTTGCATATTACTCAATCCAAGCATGATTGTTGATAAAAACAATTTTTCATAAATAACCTTTGTTAATAAAAAGTAACTATATTCAGTATAATGTAATTGAATAGTCGTCTGATCCGTATCCGTAAACAATATAGTCAGTTAAATCTGTGATAATACACATATTACATTCAAATTTAGATATCTAACGTTCCAATCTATTTCAAATATTCTACTTTCAGCGAAGTTGGCTGATTTTCAACAACAAGTTCGACACTATAATTTTCTTCTAACTTATTCAGTCTCCTTCAAAAGTTCAAGTTATTGGTTTGAATTTATCTTTTACTATGGTGAAACGAGGCAATCGTCATCTGAATCAGCAGGGAACCGGTCATATAACGAATGGCGTATGTTTCTAATTAGTCAATTCGCTCTTATTCACGTACACTTCTTCATCATTGATCTGTCTATTATGTAGATGTTAAATAGTTACATATCAACGATCCCATGATTCATCTTCATTTTCACAGTTAATCTCGAATTTCAATCTCTCTTACACATCTCATTCATCACATCGTTCATTACATGACATCGAGATAAACATAAGCATCGCTCGTGATTTAAAGAAAAAGAAAAAAATATATAAAAATATATTTTTCTCTCTCTTCTTCTCTAATTCGTACGAAACAAATTATTTATTTCTTTGCTCGTATCGAATATATCCACACGTACAAAATAACTAACTAGTTCAACTTAACGTAATATACATAATAATAATAATAATAAAGTAAAATCAAAAGAAACGAAATTGTGTAAGTATTGCATTCAAACTATAACAATGAACTTCCTTTATGTATTCATTCTCTTGTTTTCCTGGTCTCAAATATCTTCTGAAAATATTTTTTCTACCAATACTACAATTGCTCATCCCGAATCCGGTCTTTTTCTGGACTACGTGGGTCCTTATACTCCATCTGAAACAATCATCCACAATTCAGCTATTTTTCCCATGACTAACCGTACATGTCACTTTCTTCCACTTTCAGCAGTCGAACGAATTTCTTCCTGTAATTGGATCTTACAACGGACTAAACGACTCATTTCAGGCATTATTACTCTCGGAATAGGAGCAGCTACTCTTGGACTATCAGCTTCCAATAGTATTCAAATATCAGGTGTTCAAAAGGAAGTTGCTCTTGTGTCAAAATCTCTTGCCGAACTGTCACAAGTCACACGGGTTTTTGGTGTTCAACTGGTCAAAATCCAGTCTGAACACATTCAGTTAGCTGAACAACTACAGATGACTCAAAAACTTCTTGAATCAGCTGTACCTACTATTAATAATCACTCGGAAGCTATTAATGCTTTAGAAAGTCGTGTTTCCTTCTTACAAATGCAGTTTCAACACTCATTTCTCTATCAGGCTATTACTCAAATTTTTCGAAATGATCTTACTCTTGCTTTTTTAGCGCCTCAAGATCTTCATACTGTTGTCTATAGCGTCATTCGTCAGGGCAATCTTACTTTTAACCCACATTTTGGATCTTTGCCTCTAGCACATATCGTTACTCGACTTCTTGTCCGTCAACAACTCGATTTCATTCCCAATACGTACTATGAAACGTCAGACCCTTCTGAAATTGGGCGCTTGGTTATTACTAGTTACTTTGCAGTTCCTCGATCAGATCAATCTCCCTTTCTCATTTACAAATTAATTACTACTCCATTTATACATGACAATGAAACTGTTCAATTAGCTCAAATCCCCCAATACTTGGCTATCGATCCATCAAATAATGTCACAATTGAGTGGTATGATCAGGATAATTCTAAATGTGATTTTCAGCTTATGACTACTTGTCGGGATACACCACCATTTCGTTCTATGTCAAATAGTACTTGCGTTGGACAAATCTTAGGTGGATCAATCTTGTCCAAATGTCTAACAGTGTCAGTTCTACCTTCACCTTTTTTTCTTCGTCAACTTCGTGATAATCTTTGGGTTACTTCATCGGCCCAATCCTTACATTGTGTGGTCATTCCAAAAACAGAGTTCTCGATGCCCTCCTTTCAAACATCAAGTTTGAATGAACAGCTCATTCTTCCACCTGTAGCTCTCGTAAACGTCACATCCGGTTCTACCATCGCCTGTCCAGGTTTTTCACTCATGGGTCGTCCCATTGAACAGTCTTCTCCATCAGTAGTCATTTTATATAATAATACCTTATTTCTCAATAACATTTCAGTAGTGGATGTCCATCGTCACATTACCGGAAATAGTACTTGGTCGAAAAGAAAGCTCATGGGACGTGAACTGAAAGAAATCATGCGATTTATTGAACAACCACCCTTTAATCCCACCGCTACTCTTTCACATCCTATGTACATGTTTTCATTGTATATGATTTTTGTAGGTTTTATTTTAACCAGCATCACCATCATCATCTACTGTGTGCGTCGAGGTTTTATACGATATCTTCTACAAGGTCCTCGCGTAGTCTCACTTCCTCTTCCATCGCTCACGAGTACCACCTAGAATATTATCCTCTTGTTCAAATAATCCATAAAAAACAATATCTATCTATCTATCTATCTATATTTATAGTCTCTCCACAACAGTAATCATTTACAATATTTGAAACCAGTTAACATGCAAAACTTTGATTTTACAATTACGGCAATCTGGAGTGTACTAAAAACTTTACACGAAGCACGATTTTCTTCTCTTCCATCCATTGATACTACGCTCTTGTCAATCCGTGATTGGCTTCGTGAACATTTTTCGTCCCATTCTAACGTCGATACTGCTCTCAAGGCTATTAATATCCTTGATTCCACCCCATCCTCAGCTTTTCTTCGTCGACATAACGTCGATCCTGATGATGTTCTACGTCTCACCTGGTTCCTTGTCGGCTCTCGTGCATCTGTACACCAGTTGTTTTTTGAAGTTCTTCTTGAAATAAATGAAAACACTTCGTTCAGTATTCAAACTACTCGATTTTTGCAATTAGCTTGGATGTTATCTCCCATATTTACTTCTCATGTATCGGAGCTTAAGCTTTCATCCATTGCACCAGGTGAATCCAAATCTACAGGTACCTATCTATTGTCTGATCAACCACAATCTTCTAAGAAACAGTTACCCACTCCGCTTACGTCTTTACATCTCGATACTGATCGATTCTCACCTAATTGCAATACTCATCCCATCCCCCTCATGTCATTTTATGCTCCACCACCTTCTCTCAGTGGCCATCATCAACCACGAAAACCAAAGTCTACTCGAACTAAACAACAACCTACAACGGCGTCTCAAACTCGCTTACACAGCGAGGTCTGTCGCCAATCAGCAAAAAATACTGTTATACCACACCAAGAATCCAACCATAATCATCAACAAACCAAACAACAACAACCAGATTCAGTTTCAATACCACATTCGCCACTATCCGATCTAAAAGCTTCTTTCGATACTGAAATGATCGAACTATGTTAACCACATGTAATGGTCATCCATAATACATATTCGTTTTTTTTCTGTCTTGCTTTATCTTACTACTCTTCTGTTACCTTCCACCTGCTCAATCATAGCTAATCCTGAAGATAATCGTGCATGGTTATTGTTGTATTTTTTTCTTTATCTTCCTCGTTTTGATGCATTTTTGCTTTCATTATGATTTTTTTTAACTCTCGCGTTATATTTTAATCAAGCATATAATTGTTCATTGCTTTTTTTTCTTTTCATTTACTTGCATTTCTAAGTATTATAATGAAACACATTATTGCTTAATGTTCTTTTTTTCTTCTCATTCTTTTATATTTATGAATATTATAATCAAGCATATTATTGTTAAGTGTTCTTTTTTCTCTTTTTGTTTTTCATTCTTCTTTCTGCTGTATGCATGCATTAAATAATATTTTATATTCATTCTTTGAATAAATGTGGAACGAGTGAGTCGTTCAACAAAGAAATGTTTTTTTTTAATTTCACAAGTCACCACGAATTTGTTATTTGATGTCTAATAACATATAAGAAATGAGAGTAATAATGAAAAAAAAATTCATACATATCTTTTCTTTTGAATGCCTGAAAAACATGATTTGATAGACCTTACATTATCAATCAGATACCCTTTTCTCACTGTTATTTATCATTTCTGTGTCACTACTAATTAGTTTTCAATATATTATAATACATTATTATTGATTAATATTCTGATATGGATTAGTGATTATATTTTAATGTATTATAATGCGTTACATTATTATCAAATATCATTTAGTTGTTCACTATTGATTATTTTTTAATACATTATGATACATTTTTGTTAAAAGAGATAGCAATATTTATCAATCAATCAGTACTCAATGCATTTTAATGCATTACTGCGAAATTATATATACCGCGTGGGCCAAAAGTAAGGAAACACAGAAAAAATTGAATATCTCCATTACGGCTTGAGTAAACGAACTAATTTTTTTTATCAATGATAGAAGCATATTCAAGCTTTATATCTACAAAGACATGCCTAACGAGTCCCTTTGTTAAGTACCACTATTGATCTGAACAAAGAAAAAAATTTTACTTTTTTACAGATAGGAAATTAAATAATACACTTAACAAGGGATTTCTCTAGGCATGTCTTTATGAATATAAAGCTTGAACATGCCTCTTGAATTGATAAAAAATTCAGCTCATTTACTCAAGCTGTAATGGAGATATTCAATTTTATTTTTCATAAAGTGACTTTTGCACCGTCCTTTATATTATTTTGTTTCCTATTTGTGAAAAAGTAAATTTTTCTTTGTTCAGATGGATAGTAATACTTGCCAAAGGGTTTCTTTAGGCATGTCTTTATGGATATAAAGCTTGAGCATGCTTCTATTATTGATAAAAAAAATTAGCTCGTTTGCTCAAGCCGCAATGGAGGTATTCAATTTTTTCTGTGTTTCGTTACTTTTGGCCCACCCGGTATATATTATTCTAATTTATTGTTATTTAATGATGTTTGAATATTAACGAATTAATTGATTTGTTTCATATGAAAGAGTTATAGTTGCACGAAAAAAATTGCACTAATAAGCACGCTGTTTGTCTCTCCATCAGGATATGTTGCCGTATGAATGTGAGAGTAAGACAAGACAGAAGTTTTTTTTGTCTTGATCAAAGCGGTAACGAAGTTTTTATAAAATAAGTAAAAATTAAAATCGATTATATCACATAAGTACAGGGTGTTGCATAACCTTTTTCCAGGGGGGTAGCGACGTCATTCTAAAGCAGGTACCGAATGAATTTTATACCAAATGAAAGCCCGTAAAAAACTGGATCTAGAACTATAGTTAACAATTCAATAGATGCAGATAGTCAATCCAAGTTATAAATGTACAAGATTTTGGTTACATTCCTGCGAAGAAAATAAAGTATCAAGTAAATGTGGTTCAGTTACAAATGAAATATCAAGCGAACATTTTATTTGATTTGAATAGAAATGATACATCAATATCTAGTGTGACCGCCGTTGGCTTCACGTACAGCTTTTAACCGCTGAGGATACGATTTCAATAGACTTTCGAA